ACATGAGGAGGAGACTAAAAATGCGTTGGATGAGAGATCTCCTTTCTTAAACAATTTAAGTAATTGGAACAAGTTAGGGAAGAGTTATTGCTGAGTACTTTTCTTGCCCATGCCTGTCATGTCATTATTTCATGTATCGCCATCACATTTGCTGATTGTCAACAATAAGTTGACAGACGCAAATACATCTTTTATAGACAAAAAATAAATAGATAAATACTGTGTCTTTTTTAAGGTTTCGTTCCTATTTATAAATATATTCATGTTTTTTTTTTAGATTTAAAATAATAATAAAAGGCTTAGCGAACACGAAGGTTCGATGCCGACAAAAGAAATCACCTATTACACGGCTCTCTCGAGTGTGTTCGCTTCAGTCTACCACTCGGACGCTTACCATTCGGTACAGCAAATATTAACCTTTTAGGAATTCTTTCGTTACTAAGCCCAACAAGTTTACATGCCCATTTAATTCGCCGCGACGTGATCACTTCAATTATATTAACCGGATACAGTTCACACAATTCGGCGTTGTGTAACCGTCTGAACTCTCCGGTTAAATCATCCTGTTTCGGTCCGAATATTCTACGGGATACTTTTCAAGAACCTTAAGACGTTGTTCGTCCCTTAATGTAGGATGAACCGCGTTTCACATCCGTAAAGAACTGCCGGTAAGATAATGGTTTTATAGATTCTAGTTTTCAAGTTCCGGTACAATAGGCATTAGCTAATTAGTTTTGTTACAGAAAAGTAACAATCATTTCCCGTCTTCAGCCTTAACTTAATCTCCTTTTCAACTTGGTTTTTTTCTAGTTCTCGTAGACCATAGATATTTAAACTTCTCTACGTGTTCAAACACGTTACCTTCTATATCGATACCACCGGCAATATCGCCGCTAATTTTTTGGATTTAATTTTTAAAATCGTAATTCTCTTTTTCCCTCACCATAAGCTATCCCTCATCCCTACACACCTCTAGAACTATAAAGTAGCGTTAAGGCCGACAGCCTACATGGCTTATTCATCCCAGCTGAAGGCCCCTGATGAGCTGAGCCAGGTACAGGTACCGTAGCCGCTATAATGAACTTGGAAATATTTTATCGCCTCGCCTGTTCCCTCGACGGCCTACTACCGAATTCTGCCCCATCCCAATTCCCCTGAGAGTCAGCCGTCTCTCACCTGCCACGGTAACTTGCTTTCTGAGAAGTTCGTTAAATGTGACCTTTCCAGTTTTGCTCTAGACAAAAAGTACACATATATAGAGAGAGAAAGCAACGAGATCGAAGCCTGAAAGATTGAAGGACTTAATAGCGCAATCCATCTCAATTTTTGAGCGAAATCGTGAAATAATAGTTTAAATGCAGCAGAATCTTCCCCACATATATTATTACAGTAAGGTTCGAAATTGGTTTTGTACCAAATATAAGCTCCTGTTATGTTCAAATACCATGAATGAATGGGGTACCGTTGGATTCAGAATTTCACGGAATTTCTTGGAACATTATATTTCCCGATAATGGTCCAATCCGATGATTCCACACTCCCTGTTCCGTAGAAGATTTAATTGTTTTTTTCAGTTTGCCTGAAAAAGTAATCGTTCTATTGACTACTCTGTGAGGAAAAGTATTTGTTAAATCAATAAAGACCCCCATACCAGACTGAAACGACTAGAAACCGCCCGACGTTTTCGACTACTGCAGCACTTACTAGACAAACGATCTAATCTTTCAATCAATTATAAACGACTCGTATATATGACAATAATAAGACCTATTTGGACTTACGGAATTGAGCTTTGGGGCTCCACTAAACCATCGCCTTCCATAACAAACTGCAGAACCATCCGAATCCTCTCGTTTCAAACCTTGCTTCCTCCTCGATCCCTGATAACCCTCCGAGGCGTCTGAAAAGAAGATGGCCTCGGGATCTTCTAATATAGAACTTTAATTTGAGTTCTACCAATGGGTAGTTTCTCTTCATGTTGTACATGCCATGTTACAAATTTCTCATTTACTTATTGTATTCTCTATGTAATACAGTTGTAAATTCCATTAAAATAAAAAAAAATCAATAAAGCTAGCAATAAGTATTCTTGGAAAAACTACCAAACCTAATCGAAATCTCAGTTTCAGTCAAAGATATCCACTTCTTGAGTGATAGGCGATTATAGTTTTCTTTTCTTTATAGCGTTCATTCATTTTATTCATGATTTTTTTGGGGCGATGTACTTATTTTTCCCACCTGAAAGAGAACATAATCTTCAGAATGGTGGCTCAATCATTGGATATCCGAGTACGTTTTCTATCCTTTATTTTTCGAGAATTTGATAGGATTCCGAACTAACGGAAGGCTTCATACTTCTTGGCCTATAATTTAGTCAAATATTTTTTTTTCTTTTTGAAAATATATGCTTCTTAAAATTCTCCTATTTCTTCAAAGTCGCATTTTAAGGAAGCATGTTATAACATTGGCATGATTTATATCTTAGCCATTTCTTATAAAAAATATTTAGTCTACTTTTTTTTTCGCTATTCTTCATTTCATCGAGCGATAAAATAAATACTAAATTACAAATTTAAAAAATCAAATATTTGTTTATACCATGGTGCTCATATTATTAAATTAATTTCATAAATTGCTACTTATGCTGACGATAATGCAATTCTCACAAAACATCATGACCCTAAACGATCCAAGCTGACGTTACATCATTTACAAGTCTGATAGATATCATGGAATATTCGACTAAACCAGAAATAATTGAAACACATTACATTTACACGTGGACTTACTCCTCACAGATATACGTTATAGATAAAAGGATCTACTTACACAAACTTTCCAATTTAAAATATTACGACTTATAACTAAAGCATTTTGGTACGTGGCAAACAAAACCTTACATACAGACTACTTGCTGATTACAGTTGACCAACATATAAGTACTCTTTACAAACGATTTCACAATAATTTACACGGACATACTAATCAGAGATATAGCTTCAGTTGACATGTCCGTAAATACGAGGAGGAGACTAAAAAGGCACTGGATGAGTGACCTCCTCCCTTAACAAACCATGGTAATAGATTCAAGCCAGAGAAGAGGTACTGCTGGGTGCTATCCTTCCCCATGCCTACATGTCAGTTTCGTTATTTTAATCAGACCATCTGTTGATTGTTATCAATCGTCGACAGGAGCAAATCGATATTGAAAGACAAAAAAAATGTCATTGTATGCTGCGTACAGAGGTTTTGGGCCAATTATAATATATGCCTCATTAAAATATAAATATGCAGAAAAAGTACAATTTCAAGAGCTCGAAATATATCAATAAAAATAAATAATGGGCTATGAAATATAAATAATTTAGAAAATATATAAGCGTTGGTGGCCCATTTAAGAGGACCCTTAGTAATGGAACATATAGCGCCGTGTGTTTAGGCAAACCAACACAAGTTGTAGGCGTTGCGGGCTCACTCTAACGCAAACCCCTTATTCTGACGTTCTATGCCACTCTGATAAAAGCTCTTATTTGTTTTATTTATCTGTTAAAGTTTATGTTATATGTTCTTTATTTCCAGTAATAAAAATAATAATACAGCATTCATATCAGATATTATTATATTATTTATCGCTGTAGTCTCCATATATTTAAAATTATAACTGTTTTATACATTTCGGTAGTATGAACCATGAAGAAATAAAAATGTAAATTAGTTCCTGAAAATAATTAATTGAATGAATATAAATGAATATAACTGATTCTCACATTTTGATATACATGAACTGATACAATAGAAATACTTTATTTAAAGCAGTGCTGCTCTACTATATAGGGTTGCTCGATACACAGCATACTCATCAATCTTTTTTTTTTTTTTTTGACTTAACACTTAATTATACTTAATCACATATATATACAAATTATTTTTCATATCACACAACATAAACAATATCAATACTATAATATGCCAACACACACAATTACAATTATACAAAATATATATATATATAGTTCAGTAAAACCGATACAAGACAATTTCTGGAATTTATAGAGAAAAAAACAACAATTCTACTGCTATTTTTTAAACTTTATTTATTTATACATTGTTTATACATCTTATTACCTATAAATGTCTATTATTATCCTTATTTATTTATTTTATTCTATCAATCCATTTCTTTGTTTATTTTTTTAAAAAAAATTTTTTATTTATTTTTTTTTTGTACCAACCATATAAATAGTATTAAGTGATGTTATTTAGTTGATCGGGCGCTTATGACCTGGATGTTTTGCGCCTAGACATCGAAACAAACAAACAAACAAAAAAAAAAAAACAGATATTCGAATGCAAAAATTTTAAAACCAGAAAATTAGAACGCATATACAGCAAGTAACATAATCTTATGATTATAGACAGAAAGATATGGTTAGTTAAATAATTTAAAATTGAATATATAAATAAATGATAATAAATATCAATAATCAACCCCTAATTATCATATATGTGATTATGAATGATCCCAGATGTGATATATGAGTCCAGAATAATACAATATAAATAATAAAAATAAAATAGAGAGAGAAATACTTTATTTAAAGCAGTGCTGCCCTACTATATGGGGTTGCTCGATACACAGCATACTCATCAATCCTTTATTTTTGGACATACGAATTATAAACAATCCCTTTTCATATTGCACAGCTCAAACAATATAAATACTACAATACACTAATACATACAACTACAATTATACAATATATTATATATACATATTTCGGTGAAACCGATACAAAATAATTTCTAAAATTTATAGGGCTAAAAAAAAAAATATATATATATATATATATATATATATATATATATATATATATATATATATATATATATATATATATAACAAAAAAAAGAACCAATTTTATTCCATTCAGTAATTTATTTTAATAATATTTTTATACGTTTGATAAGTTTTTAATGCTTATATATTCTATTTGTTTCAGGAAACCAGCTAAGACATTTGCATTCGACCATTGTTTCAATTCCGCTGACCCTAACAGCCCGGATTATGCAAACCAAGAAACTGTGTTTGGATTCCTCGGGACTGACATTTTGGACAATGCCTTTCAAGGATACAATGCCTGTATCTTTGCCTACGGACAGACAGGTGTGTTTTTATTTAATATTATATTTCTTTTTTTTTTCTAAATGTATATACATATATACATATAGCCAGATGAAACAGTACATATTTTGTTTTTCTTGGGGATTCATGGATTATATTTAATGCATAGTAAGGTGGACCTTACCATATTGCTTTTTTTTTTTTTTTTAATTTGTCATGAAGCAAACAAAGTTTATTATTATTATTTTTCTTCCACAGGTTCTGGAAAGTCATATACAATGATGGGGAGTCAGGATAACAAAGGTATTATACCAAGGCTATGCGATTCCCTATTCGATAGGATCGCTAAGTGCCAATCATCGGAACAATCATATAAAGTTGAAGTTAGTTACATGGAAATATACAACGAAAAGGTATCTTATAAAGAATAATTTTAATCATATGATGGAAAAAATTCGTATAAATATGTTAGTGATTTATTTACAATTAAGTAATAAATATTTTAATTAATAATAATTGGAGTATTGCAAGTGAAGTATTGCCTTACAATTTACTTGATATTAATTTTATTAGTTTTATTAATCAGCCCAATGTCACTTAAAGTAAGAAAATTGTAGTGCTTATAGGTTTTAAAAATAAATTTATTCTGACCCAACTTGTGAAAATCCATTTTTAAGTGGGATGATTGAGTTAAAAGTTATTTATAATGGTTATCAAGATTCTTTGTTTGGACTAATCATACTATATCTATGTTATAAATAATACAGTACTTGTACTGTGTAAACTCCTACAAACATTATTGAATATTTCAAGTATCATTTATTCACCCATCTGCTTTAAATGTGGCTGAGAATCAGAAACCCCAGCTCTTGTGTTGGGCTATTGTTCGAATATCATGCTCCTTTTCACTCCCTGATACAATAATATAAAACATTAAATAGCCGAATTTCTTGAAATGAAGAAATATAGATATTTTATATTAAATTTTTTGGGGATATGTGCAATTAATAAGATTTATAATTTCTAGGAAAATTGCTTTATTTCACCCTTTCACCTCTACTCCATGCTTCGATTAATTTTAATTTTCTCGATAAATTTTCAGACAATTTTGCCCATTTTCAAGTCAAAATATTTATCTATAATGTAATTACACAATAATTATAAATATATATGTAAAAGATATAACAATAAAAGAAAATTTCAAAATATCAAATCAATGAATTATATTTTTTATATAATTATTGTAACATTTATCTCCTCACATTCTTCTAATTATAAAGTTCATAGCTTATTTATGAAAAATCAATTCTAAAAAAAACAACTGAAAATTAACATACAAGGTAATTTATAGAATAGTATTTTAAATTATTAAAAAAAAAAAAAATCTTATTTGGCTTTTTCTTATGTCTTATATGTTTATTTTCAGTTTTTTTTATAATTAGAAGAATGTGAGAAGATAAATGTTACAATAATTATATAATTATATTGATTATAGAATAATGATTTAAGTAGAGATATCATTCATGTGCTGTTATATCTTTTACATATATATTTATTATTATTGTGTAATTACATTATAGATATAGACATATAATTACATTTCGACTTCAAAATGGACAAAATTAGTATTGTGGATCCCACGATCAGATTTGAAACGAATGATCAGGATCAAGACTTCAGGGTACAGGCAGAGAAGGAAGATATCTATAAGAATTGCATACCTGAAGATAAAGTACAGGGAATTAAAGGGCTATAGTTTGGAAGGTAGGGAAGCACCCCTCTTACTACAAGTAATTTCTTGCAGAGGCTCGTTGATGGGAATCCTCCATCACCATTGTTGATCTATATTGTTTGATCTTTTCATTCGCTTGTTCGATCCTGTATACTGTTCTTGGTATATTACCTGTTGCAGTTTTTTTTAATATCATCTGTTGATTGATTGATTATGCTGTCTAGCCACTCAACGAAGTCGAGCAACCATGCAATATTATTGCAGTTCTCTCTGATCATATCATTTTATTCCATCTTGTTCTTATTGATATATTAATATACTTACTATTTACTCTTCTATATCCAGAATGAATTGAATTCTTTAAGGGGTCAATGCTAAAGATGGCAATAATAAAAAAAGTAATTTTTATTTTAAAGCCAAATTAAATTTGTTATATATAATTTACTCTTGACTACCATCAATTGCTGATTGTTTCCCTTACTCGACAATCCCTACTGAGTAGACTGGACTTTAAGAGATTCCATTTTATTATTTTATATCCATATGTCTTTTATTTTATTATTATTATAGCTTTTATTATATTTTCCCTGATAGGTGCACGATCTTCTAGACCCTAAACCAAATAAACAATCGCTCAAGGTTAGAGAACATGGTGTTCTTGGACCTTATGTAGATGGCCTCTCGCAGCTTGCCGTCTCTTCATTTAAGGTACAGTAAAGTTTTTAATTATTTTTGTATTGATGTGGGGAATTATTTAAAAATAATGTTAAAACATACTATAAACCTGAGCATTGATTGTAGTTGAGTTAACAAAAAACACCAAAAAAAGTTTTATTATTGCTCAAGGGTGTTTGAGGGTTAAGTGGCCATACTACAAAAATGAACTAACGACATCAAAACAAAAAAAAATTTCCTCTGAAGGTATGTCCGCAAACACTTTGTTTAGGAGATGTTCACACCTAGAGATTTTCGTTGTTATGAATTATTTATGTTTTTGAAATAAATAAAACCTTTTGTTTGTTCTAACTACTTTATTAATTAAATGTAAACATTAACATTCATATTAAATGTTGTTCAAACTGAAGGTATGTTCGCAAATGCTATGTTTAGGAGATGGAATTTTTTTGTTTGGACATTACACAAAAAGTCTATGCAAATCCGGTCAATGACCTTAATTCCTTACGAAGAAGGATAATTGAATCTTGTGAAACAATAACACATATCCAGTGCCGTTCTGCCACAGCTGCTGTTGAAGAAAGATGCCGAGCCTGTCTTAATGCTCAAGGAAATCACTTTGAACAACATTTAATATGAATTTCATATTTATGTTTAATTAATAAAGTAGTTGGAACAAATAAATAAGTTTTTTTACTTAATATAACATAAATAAATCATAAAAATGAAAATCTTTAGGTGTGAATATCTCCTAAGCGTTTGCGGACATACCGTCAGAGGAAATTCTTTTCTTATTTTGAGTTTCTCATTTCATATTTTCAGTTTGGCCACTTAATCCTAAAACCCACCTCCCTGTATAGGTGTAAATTTTCTTTATTGTAAAAATTTAACCAATATTTAGTTGTTAATTTTCCGATAGCAATGCTTATATGCGTGATAGGTGTGACTTAATCAAAAGGCAATCAAGATCAAATGAGCATATCATTGATTGAAAAAAGTGACTAAATACATTGGACCAAAACTTTTATGTATCAAATATAGTTTCAGGAAAATAATTACTGATTCAATTTTATAGAATGCCACATAATGATGTTTTTCAATAAATGTTTATCAACAAAATAGGTTTCAACAACCTCAGAAGTAAAATTAGCACAGACAGATTTCATATCATACTTATTATCTTTCTATATTATAGCATAATTAATATAAATTTGTCACAGTGTTTACGAGATTGAATTTTTATAATTTTTTTTATGTTTACTGTAATATTTTTACTTAATATTGGTTTTATTTGCATAATTGTTTTAATCTTTTAATAAATATTGAAGAAAGGAGAAAAAAAAGTTACTCTATGAAATTAAAAGCAAATGAACAATTTTAAAATTACATTGATCTTATGGTTATTCTTCTGGTTTATGAAACAATATTAAAATTGGTTATACTTATTTTGTTTTATTTTTTAGGATATTGACAATCTTATGGCTGAAGGCAACAAATCAAGAACTGTTGCCGCGACAAACATGAACTCGGAATCGTCTCGTTCACATGCTGTTTTCTCTGTTGTCCTAACGCAGACACTCAATGACCCCGGTTCTGGAGTGAGCGGGGAACGTGTGTCAAGAATGTCCCTGGTAGATCTTGCAGGTAGTGAAAGAGCGGCGAAAACAGGAGCGGTCGGGGACCGGCTTAAAGAGGGTTCCAACATTAACAAGTACATGACTAAACATAATTTTAATTATTTGTTATTTTAGTTTTTATAGCGTTCTCAAGAAGGAGGTTTTATGTTAGTTGTTTGGAAATAACATCAAATATTGGTAAGTATGTATTCAAAGCCAACATTTTGACTCACATTGTATATTCATCAGAGTTGAAATTATGCAATGAATTCTGAAAAGTCCTGATGAAGACCTACAATATAACTAAGATACAACAAAGATATAATTATTTTAAAGACTAGGTTAGGAAATTATAGAACTAAATTATAATGGCTATTGTTGGTATTTAATAAATATATACCATTATATGACGTTATTTCTGACTAACAACTAAATAGGTAGAGATGTTTGATAGCATTGTCTTTGGTAATGGTATTTGTTGTCCATGGTAGACTCAGACCACTCCTTCAGTCCTCACCATGCCTCCAAAACGCTTCGTTATTTCTAATTTTTAACTAGATATGAACCTATTTTTATTGTTAGAAAAGTACAATCTCATGTACCTTTACATTCTTTACCTCTTGAATTCTATTGCAGCTCAAATTTATGTTATTTTTTTCCACCCAAGTACCAAATCGCACACGCATCATTGCACATTAGAAGTTCTTAACTACACAAGTGTTATTTTGAAGAATAAAAATTGGATAAACATCAAATACAAAAACATTCACACAAAACCAATGTAATTCCAATTTTCTGGAATAGACTATTTCATATTCACTGTTATCTATAGTACTAACTATAACAAATTTAAGAAAAATATCAGATTTATTATTTGTTCGCATTTTTTTTAAATTATTAAATATTTTATTTTTTAATGGTTCAGAAATAATTTATTGTAGATAATATGGTTGGAAAGTTAGTTAGGAGTTGCAGTCACAGTGAAAAAGAAAAAAAAAATTTTTTTAAATTGAAATTTAAGATGATATTAACAAAAAAAAAACAGATCTTTAAATGACCTCTTCGTGTTCTGTCAAACCAGACTAAAGTACTAATGTTTTGTACCATGTTATTATTCTTAGGGGACTTTAGTCCCAGAATAAAATTATTTTTTCTTTTTCATTTTTCATTTCCAAAATACAAGTAAATGTCAATTGGTATAATAACATGTAAATAATTGCAGAGAAACTACCCAATAGGAACACAAAAAAAAATTATATTTTGCCAACGTTTTAGCCCTGGTTTCAGGTTTTGATCAGGAGTGCTTGTTTGGAGATAGTCCAGCAAATTTGACAGTACACTTAAATATTTTTTCTTTTTTTTTTTTTATTGCTACCAATTCTCTACAAGTATGTCCATGTAATAACTATTAACATTGACTTGTATTTTTAATTAATTCAGTTGTAAATTTTTATTTAAAAATAAATAAATAAATACATTTATTACTGTGACTGCAATGCTCGACGTATTTTATTGTTAGTTAATTATTTTAAAAACCATCACTAGATGAAACAAATCCATTAAGTAACTATTCTTCTAAAATGATGAATGAGGCCGGTTGCTCTGGCCTATTTTAAAATGTCTAACCATTTTGATATTACTTTAAAATGTCTGACCATTTTAAATCATATTTAATCAATTTAAGTTAATGGTTAATAACAAATTTTATTTATTTTGTATTTATCATTTTCTTTCCAGATCTCTTACAACTCTAGGACTTGTGATATCAAAATTAGCTGATCAGTCATCAAATGGAAAAAATAAGGATAAATTTGTACCATATCGAGATTCGGTGCTTACGTGGTTGTTAAAGGTATAAATTTCTTATTTTAATTAAATATCTTAGTAAAAAAATTAAATATTTTGTATTATCTTTATAAATAATCTTTTTACTCTTATAAAGTTTTTTTAGAAGTTAATTCGTATTATTGTGATCAGGACAATCTCGGGGGAAACTCAAAGACTGTAATGGTTGCCACTGTTTCACCAGCAGCTGATAATTTTGAAGAAACTCTATCCACATTGAGGTATGCAGATCGAGCGAAGAGGATTGTCAACCACGCCGTTGTCAATGAAGACCCTAACGCTCGTATCATTCGAGAGCTAAGGCAAGAGGTCGAGACACTCAAAGAGATGCTCAAGTACGCTACTGGCTCAAATTCTACTGTGAGTTCTCGTTTTATTTATTTGTTTCTTTTAATTAATAAATATTTATTTACATTATTGCAGAGGACAATATTAATAAATATTCTATAGGTAGATTTATTTTACCTGTTTCGTATTATTAAGATTAATTTAAATAATACATACAATTAATGTTAATTATTATAAATATTATGTATATTAGAATTAGAATTTTTCATATTTTAAAAATTGTTTAAAGTACAAAAAATTCGAGTAAAATTTGTTTTTGGTGAATGATCAAAGTAAATTCATACCCCACAGAATAGAATAAGGAAGTTTGTTGCTAATCTTTTTTTTGAAAATCTAAAAGAATTTTCTTTCCATGAGTTAATTTTTCAGTTTTTCTTACTTAATGAGTACAGAGTTCCTCAACCTTTTTCGTAACACAGGTGTATACTATATTCCAAAAAAATAGTGGCAGGTGAAATCATATTAAAAAAATATATAAATATAGTAACGTATATTTACTGTAATATATTATATATTCATTTTGAAAGTTCAATTACTATTAATTGTTAAATATTAAATAAATAAGGTTAAATGAACAAAAATATTAAATGTTAATCATTTTGGTCATTTAAAAGAGAACTTATGGAAAGTTTTTTTGTTTTTTTTCTGTTGGTATTTTAGACCATGTAGATCTTTTGCCGCCTCAACAAGCCTGCTCCATCTCTGCCTTTCTTGGGCTATTTCTATATCTGCACGTAGCTCTATTGCATCTTTGTTGATTCGCTCTATCCAACTGCTTTTGGCCTTCCACGTGTTCTTTTGCCTTCATTGTTATATAGGGGATTACTACGAGCTACATGTCCTACCCCTCTTAACCTCCATGCCTTCATATCATGGGATATTGATTGACCAGTTTCTGTAAGCAGTTCTTAATTGGTCTTTCTGCTCCACATGTTAGTACTCTGATCCCAGACTGCTCCTGTTATCGTGCGGAGGATTATTCTTTCAACACTTTTTTCTAGGGTGCTGGTTAGTGTCCGGGTCTCACAGCCATATATTAGAACTGGCTTTATCATAGCATTGTACACCCTTAATTTGGAATTTCTTGGAATTCCAATACCCAAAAGGAGTAGAAAACTATGTTTGCGCTAGTTATAGGCTGGTCTATTTCTGTCCATTTGTCATTTATTGAGGTTATTGTGAAGCCAATCAAGATGACATTGAGAAACTCTTACGACTCTGATAAGAGTCAAAACAAAATACATGATAATAATCAGAAAATTCGACCCCAATAACAGGATCTGCGTTGAAGTTAAATCATTCCCAAGAGTACAATTCAAATAGAGAAAGTATATACAAAATAAATAATTATTGCTTAAAAAAAAAAAAAAATGATAAAATATAGGTAGCATGTGCAACAATACGAGTTTAAATCAGCATAGGTGACACGAAAATTTCACTAGCAGCTGTATTTTCAGAAGTAACATAAATTTTTATATATTTAGTTATAAATTAAATAAATAAGATTGATTTAATTTATAATATTTACTTTACAAAAAAAAAAAAAGTCAACATTTATTTATTTGCACTATAAATCTGAGAGTATATTATGCTGGCACAAGGTTGAGAACTCTTGCTCCAGAATTATTCGTTTATATCTGTTTGAAATTCGTATTTTTAAATGTTTTGAAAAATTGACTATATTTAGTACTGTTAGAGCTCTGAAAGATTTACTGATAACATTAAAAATAGAGTTAAAAAATATTTACAGCTCCTTAGTTAATTTATTCAACCTTATCTCTTTTTATGTAATGTGGTGTACATTCTCTGAAACATTAGCTGTCATAATTTAGTTCTATAGTTTCCTAACCTAGACTTTAAAATAATTAAATCTTTGACTTTAAAAAAAAAAAATTAAATACTCTAATATTAATTAGAGCTTTACAGTTGTTTTTGTTTTATTATTAGAAGAAGAAGCAGTTACAAACATTCAACTGTTATGATTATAGCAAGTGAGATAATCTTGTGGTCACATACAAAATTGATCATCTTCGTTAAGATGTTTCAAATTCATCTCGTCCCATATTGAAGTAATATCATTTGAACAGTGAGATGTTTGTGCTAAGATTGCTAAGATAAAAGCTTCATAACCCTGCGATGGCAAGCTAAACTTACCAGTGTTAGAAAATCTTTAGTGTTACGATGTTGTGCTGTTATTTTGCTTGGTTTTAATTGACCATAACAACCAAAGTTTGATAAATCTAAACATAATACTAACATTTTTTTTATTTATATCTTTAATAACATAAAAAAATTCACTTCCCATTTTTACAAGTTTGTTTTAGATATATTTAAAAAATAATTAGCACTTAGTCTTACCTAGAGCATGTTTAACAAAAGTGTGTTGCTATGGAATTGTTTTATCTTTTGGAATATCAAAATTAGTTAGTCAGTCTTCAAATGGAAAAATTGAGGATAATATTACCGTTCAGAGATTCTATGCTTATTTGGTTATTAAAGGTAAAAGCAGATTTTGTGTAGTTAAGAATAGTAATCAAATATATTTTGTTTTAAGAAATAATAATTATTGCATTGCATATTTATGAATTCAGAACATACTAAAAATAATTACTGTTAAATTGTTAAAAGAAAAGAAATTCCTTTGGGGTTAATAATTTTAATTTAATTTATTAAATAATGGTCATTTTTATATTTTAAAAATTGTGTGCATTAATTACATAATTACTATTTAATCGCATATATAATGAAATTATTTTGGGTCATTTTATTTCCAATGTATTTCTCAGCCAACTTCGTTTCTTTCCTTTTTTCAATGTATTCAACAATATAATTTTTTTTTAAATTCAAGATTGTAAACAAATAATAAAGTAAAAGGTTTAAACTGGCTATACAGGAAATTGATTGACAAAAAAAAAATAAAGCTTGCCAAAATATGTTTTAAAAATTTCTTGTTCAAAACATATTATGCATTTGTAATTTTTTTTCCAATTTTTTTAAAGTTATAATAATGCCAATAATTTTACTGGAACTACAACAAATTCTAATCACATTCAAAACCATTTAAAATGTTGAACAATTTATAGTCTAACAAATGAAATAAAACCTGGTACTTGAAACTGATAAAATTTTACTAATACTTCATTTAAAAAACTTCATATAGGTTCAAACCAGATTTGAAAATAATGTTATAGGGATTTAATTAACATGATATTTATCAATCTTAATCTTCTCTATTAAACAGACGGAGATCTTATTTTTTTTCACTAAATCCTGCTTTGAAAAATTGAAAATTAAAATTATTCTTTTTAGTTCCAATTACATTATTTTTTCTGCTTTATTGATTTTAAAAAACCAAAAGGAAACATTTTATTTTTCTCATATTAAAATACAACAAATTAAAAATAAGTTTTGAATAATTTATTTTAATATGTTATTAAAAACATATCGTAATTGGAAGAACATTTCATACTTATATATACATAATAATTCCCAGTTTTATTTTTGTTGCTTAAGCTGAATTGTTGATATCTAGAGTTAATCTACTAAGATCTGGGAGGCCTTATTTAGCTGCACTACTGCATTTCCATTAAATGTCTTTATATTTAAAATCTGATAATATGTATTATTGCACTCTGTAATATTGCAACAAAATTATATCATCAACATACTTGTTGCTTTTCTGTGCATTAATGTAATTACATAAGCTATTGATTTTTCTTTTGTAAGTATTCCCCCCTTCCCTCCACTGTTTAATTTTATTTTGAATAATGTTGCATTCTCTTAACGTTTCATGTCTTGATTCACAGGAATCGCCTATTATTGTAAGTACATATGTTAGATATTTTATTTATTTTTTTAAAGACCCAAGTTTGCTTAAATGTTAACTTAAATTTACTGTTATAGCCCCTGGATTTACATGAAAAACTGACGGAAAGTGAAAAGTTGATGAGAGCCATGTCAACTACATGGGAAGAAAAATTAATAAAAACAGGTACATTTCTTTTATTTACTTAAAATTAAGTTATAGTTATTTTGCTTAGTGTTTTAAGTCAACATATTCTTGTTTTTATTTTTATCATTGTTTAACGTTCATATTGTCTTTGTTACTTTATAACCACTTGTCAAAATAAAAGTTTATTTATTTATCCACACCTGTCAAAATAGAAATTAACAATCTGCAAATTCAAATGTGAGTGAGACGTAAGAATGAACATCCAATATCAAAGTTTTACTGGCATTGATCTACTTTGACAGATTATGAAAGTAGATCTTCCATCCAGATCCTTTTCAATTCTTCTGGTATCCTCAGACCTATTGTTTCTACTAATCATGGTTGATATTATTTCCTTAAAATTGTTTTGTTTGTCAAATTGTGTGACTAAAGTGCCAATATAGTTTTAGAATAAGTTTAAGAATTTTAATTTGAATAGTTTAAAAACTTTGTACATGTCTTTTTTGATGAACTGAATATTGGAGAAATATAATTCTTAACATGTTGAAGTGAGTGCTAATAGAAAGTTTCTGTTTTAATTTGGATTTTTGTCTTAGAAATCCGTGTATCATATCTCTGATACAAAATCTGGTATTTTTTCTTTACCTGTAGATCTCTAGTCGTTCATTTTATAAAATATTATTCAACAACGTACATTGTCTGAAAGTGTCATGTCATAAATGTAAATATAAATTAGCATAAATGTAAAACTACATTAAAGGCTTCAACATCAGCTATTCTCCACTTTGGTGTGTGCAACTACAATTGAACTTTTCATTGTAATAAAATGAAAATCTAAGGTATAGTTGTCATTAAAAATACCCTCAGTTAACAATCATAATAATGAAATAACATATTAGATGATTAATATTTAAATATGAAAGACAAAACCAATCTCTCGGCTTTTGGAGAAGAGTGTAAAAGAAGAAATTGCTATCGGTAACCACTGGATCAAGATTCTCTGTATGTCTTTCCTAACATGAAGTGAAAATAAATTGAATTTCAATTTTAAATTCACTGCACCTTTTCCTTTTTTTTATAAAATATCTGCTTCTAAATATAAAAATCGTTAAATGTCTAATAATATTTTCAATTGATAAAAGAAATAAAAATTATAGATGAGATAAAAAATGTTTAAATGTTTTGGAAAAGGTCAGTAATTAAATCGTTTAAGTTTGATAAAGTCGATGGATTTATTGAAATTGAATACTTCTTTTTCTTCCAGGCATTTGCCTCTCTGTTTGAGGGTGCTTCAAGCCATCGAAGCCGTCCGTGACATTGAATACATGATACTTTTATAAAATAATGGTCATTGTTTGTAGTTTGACAAAGTTCGAAAACTTCAATCTTTTTTGTATCAAATTTTTCAAGTAACCTTCAAGTTTGATATACAGGGTTTGACTGTAATCGATTTTAAAAAATAAATACATTTATATTTTTTTGTTTTAAACCAATGTTAAATTTGAATACCTCATTTATTAAAAAAATTCTAGAACTTTACAAATACAAGAGCTTAATCCACAAATATAAATATCTTCTCTGGTTTTTTTGATAATGTTTTAATAACTACTTAAAAGCTAAGTTTGTTTACATTTTAGTATTTAATGTGACAGTAAACATGGAGCTAATAGTAGATCAGTTTTAAACCAAAAGATTAGGATTAAAACAAAAGATCAAGATCAATGCAACAACACTGATATAAAAAGAGGAAATTTATACGAAATGCATCCCTTACTTAAAGAATAAGTATAGACATGAATTCGAGAAAATATTCTCAGTTCTAGAGTCGTGGTTTGGAATTAGGGGAACTATTCCTTTTGCTACAAATAATTTCTTGCAGAGGCTCGGATTTGGAAGGGATCAGATGCAAACCATGACAGAAATTATAATTTTAAACTCATTACGAATTCTCCATCACCATGTATATTAATCTTTACATTTGCTTAATCTATTCTCTCTTTTGTTGTGTTTTTTTAAATATCTTTTGGTTGATTAGTATGCTGTGTGACTGACTTATTAACTCAACACAGTTGAGTAGCCGTGTAATGTTATTAAAGTTCTTTTTATCCAAAACTGTAAGCAATGACAATATTTAATCTGTGCATTTATTTCTTTTGATTCCATACATTATCATTTGTTCATTTCTATTTCTTATTTCATTTGAACGTAACGATCTCTCAATAAAATTTTAGAATTGTAAAATAATTATAATTTATTTATTTATTTTTACTGCAAATTAATTTACTTTTTTATTAAAATTATTTTGTTTTGTTTTCCTTAGAACAAATTCAGCATGAGAGACATGAAGCGCTTGAGAATATGGGAATATCCGTACAAGCTTCAGGAATCAAAGTTGAAAAGAATAAATTTTATCTTGTCAACTTGAACGCTGACCCCAGTCTCAATGAACTTCTCGTCTATTATCTCAAAGAGAGAACTCTCGTTGGTGCTCGAGGTGCTCCTGTTTCCCAAGATATACAGCTGTCGGGATTAGGTATAATAAATATAAAATTAACTTTATTTAACATTAATAATTATTTATAACATTAATTATCTTTTAATAATATTATTACATTGAAATTTTAATTTTCGAAGCTAAACTTATTGTCTTTTTCCAGGTATTCAAGCAGAGCATTGCGTTTTGACGATAGAAGACACAAAACTATACATGATTCCTATAGCTGGAGCTAGATGTTTCGTCAACGGTGCACCCGTTTTTGAAAAGACTCTGCTTCACAATGGTGACAGGCTACTTTGGGGAAATCACCATTTCTTCAGAGTTAATTGTCCGAAATCACAAGGAGGTATGAATAAATTGGTTTATAGGTTATATTAGTTGTTATTGTTTATCAATATTTTTATATATTTCTTCTAAGCATTCATGTATAAACAAAAAAATGTTATAAAAAAAAATTGTACCAAGGTCTAATCAAAGTTGGCATTTTTATGATTATAATTTTAATCCCTAAAATTACTATATATACAAGAACGACTATGTTATGTTTTTCTCATTCCTTACTGGCATCAAATAACTGGGAAAAGTTGGGTTTAAGTAATGTAAAATAATGGCTTATATTTTGAATCTTAAGCTTATTAAATAAGTCAACTATTATTTTTTTCTATTTTATACCCGCAGTTGGCATGGGCTTTGTTTATACCATAATATTATATATTTTTGTATGAAATATTATATTAACCATTTTAATTTATTTATTTGACTTGGGTTTCTGTAAAATTAACATTTTAACGACCACAGCGGGCATATACGCGTGTTCACTGATTTACCCAAGGGGCCACAGTGGACATATACACCCGCCATTAAGATCCACAAACAAGCTTACTTCAGGTATCGATGAGCAGTTAAAACATTAAACTATCTATGAAAAATGAGAGTTATGGTTCTTGTTAAAATATTTATCGCTTTGGGTTGGACTTACCTTCTTATTATCATCACAAAAATACCTGGAATTTAATTTAATATTGTGTATCATCTTTTTTTAAATTTAAATAAATAATAAAATGGGAAATTATAAAGAATAAACTAAGATTGTTATTTTCGAAGACCTTTGTCGTGAGGAGATTTAAGCTTCTGATTCTATGAAAATTTCTTCTATTTTCAATGATCGTCTCACTACTTCTTCTATGAATTCCGTACTAGTGATTTTCTTCTGAAATAATCAAAATATGATTATATGCACGTAAAAAATAACTAACAATGGTAAAAATAGGAGGAAATTTAAAAAAAAAAAAACTAATATTCCTATGAACAATGGCTGTTTTTTTTTTTTTTAATTATCGCGATTAAATTATTTTTAAAACTTAAATAAATGCATGAAACTTTTTTAAACAGTACATTACAACTTTTAAGAGAAAAAAAAAATTTGATCCACAGAGAGAGAAATTTCCTCAAATAACTTGATCGTTAAAGTGTTAAATAATTTTTTTTTTTGTTTACCAGCAAGTTTTGGTTCCTTATTTATTAATTTGATCCATTTTTGTTGATATTCAATCATATATTTTTTAATCTATGTGCTACATTATTTGTCAACTGATGTTGTTTTAGCTTCTAAAGCTGGTAAAAAAATTTAACGATTTTTCACATGATCCATCTTGACTTATTTTAGACTCCTTGTATCTGGAAGTATTTGGAATTTTATATGGCAATTTAATAAATTTAAAAAAGATAAATAAATGTAGAATTATTTATTTCATTTCAATAAAACTTTCAAATATACTTAACATAAAATTGTTTTGAACAATTTTGATATTTCTCACAAAAATTAATACTTTTATAACAGTTTCTAATTTTAACAACTTCTTTTTTTTCCTTAGTATCAACATGCAGTGAACCGCAGACACCTGCTCAGACAATTGATTATAATTTTGCCAGAGAAGAATTGATGTTGAAAGAATTGTCCAACGATCCACTTCAGGCTGCCATTGCTAAAATCGAAAGGCAACACGAAGAAGACAAACAAGGTTTTTATATTATTTATTAAAAAATATCTACAAATTATTGGTTTTTACTTGCTTTGGTTCGTATAATTTTGGTTTTTGATTATTGTAAATTATTATTTCTACCTGAGTTGAAATTATTGTATCTCATATCATTCTATACCACTAGCGGATCCAGAATTTAATTTTGGGGGGAGCTTCAGCCCGAAAGCTTTTTTTTTCATAAAAATAACGATAATTACTTTAGAAAAAAAGAAAGAATGAAAGTATGAAATGGTGTTTAAGTGATTCCTAAAGCCCTTTTAATATTAATTACACGATCAATAATACTTTAAGAGATACTTTTTTTTATATTTTTTCAATAAAACGTGGTTATATTTTACCATTTTGGGGGGAGGGGGGCCTTCAGTCCGAAAGCTCTCCCCTCTCCCCGTAGATCCGCCCGTGTTCTGTACATTACTTATATAAAGTTTATTTACTACTATCTAGAATTTGAGAGTAGGTTATATATTAGTTTATGATTTTTTATCTTTTTTCTTATTTATTTTTTTAATTTGCTTTTTATTTTAATACAATTTTCTTCAAAGTATTTAAACAGTAAAAATTATTCAACAATTTTTATATTTTAACAGTGGCGTTGGAACGGCAAAGGCAAGAATATGAAAGGCAGTTTCAGCATCTACGAAATATTTTGTCACCGTCTACACCTTATCTTCCTTTCGACCCATTCAGAACTGGAAAACTAACACCTTCTACGCCAACTACGTTAATGAGAGTGGAAAAATGGGCAAAAGAAAGGTTGGTATCAGGTTATACTCGCTATCCATTGTAATTTATCTGGATCATGGGTTCCTTTATTTTTGCAATTCCCACTGTTTAAACTCCTTAATATTCTCCAATTTGTAGGTTTAGAACAAAACAGGAATATAAGATAAAAATAAAATAATTTTTTATTAAATATTTATTCATAGCATATTTATTTTTAAAATTAATTTATGTCCAAAACATTGAAAATTGGATGAAATTAAATTTCAATTATATATATATATATATATATATATATATATATATATATATATATATATATTTATATATATTGTAACGTTCCCTTTTTCAACATAAATCAAACAAAGATTTTACTTTTTGAATATAATATTTATTTTAACACATAACATCAATTCTCAGGTTGGGTTCTGACAACTGAACACTCATTCAACATTTAATAAATACAATGTACACTAATTACTAAATACATATAAAGAAACGAGATACATACATTAAGAAATTATACATATTGTTTTCAAAAACCTTGATTGTCCCAGTCTAAACTTTGTGGCTCTTTCTATTTTCTCAAATTGCTGGCTAGTACCTTCTCTCTTGACAGCTTGTCACATTTTCTCTTGGCGGCTCATAATCTTCTCTCTTGGCCGCTAGCACCTTCCCTCTTGGCGGCCCGTCGCAGTCTGAGTTACACGAGGCTTGCTTCCCCCACTTCCTCTCTGTAGTTCATGTTCTTGCCACTTTTGCGCCACTATTTATATACCATGTAATGTTGACATTACAATATATATATATATATATATATATATATATATATATATATATATATATTATTTATATAAATTTGTTTTTTGTTTTTCTTTTATCTATGCATCAATAAAGTTAATTTATTGAATAAAAAAATTTATGATTCCCAAAACGAAGCCATGACCCAAACTTCTGGAACCTTTTATCTTGCCAATGATATGTTAATTTTATATTTATTTAAACAAAATATGTTTATAATAATATTTTAATTTTAGGGATGATATGTTTCGGCGGAGCTTAGTTAAACTAAAACAAGACATTGTTAAAGCCAATGTTCTTGTTAATGAAGCGAATTTTCTTGCCGAAGAAATTGGAAAGCAGACAAAATTTAGTGTTACTCTTCAAATACCACCGGCCAATTTGAGTCCTAATAGAAAGGTATATTCTTCTCTGTATAGACAGGTATAAAGTTTTTATTTATTTCTTTTTTTTTAGTTTTTATTTATTTTTATATATTTTTAGTTTTGTTAATTTATGTTGATTTTAATTTCTTTTATTTTTTGTTATTGCTTCTAATTGTTTTTCTCTTTATTAATTCATTCATAAAAGGCAATGATATATACTTTATTTGTTCGTGTATTATGATATAAGTTAATATTTATTAAATATCTTATAATTTCATAAAATAAAAATATTTAACTCAGGAGCAATAAAATTAAATAATTTAGATTTTTTTTTTCATTGTTGCCTATCTTTGAGGAAAAAAGAGAGAGAGGGAAAAAATAATTAATATTGTTGTTAGGTTAAAAATTCATTTTAAAAATTGGTAGGATGTATATGTACCTATTCCTGTCATAATATTTATTGAAAGTTACAAGGAAATATATACAGATTTCAACAGAAAAGTTAATTTTTTCAAAAACTTTATTAGAAAATAAAATATATATCTATAGAGAGTAAAACGAAAAAGAAATTACTCCAAAACGTCCCATTTTTGCGTTGACACAGGCATTTAATCTCTGTGGCCAGTCATCAATAGCAGCACGCAGCACTTCTTGAGTTTCAGTGTTGAAAATCTCTCACCTACATTTTCTAATTTTGTGTAAGGCGTTCACAGCTATTTAGTTTTATTTATCACCCCACTCCACGTTAACTGAGCGAAAGAAAAATACAAACTAATTGGGATTATTATCCTGACATGTAAAGAAAATGACCTGATAGAGTTAAGGATTATCTAAATAATACCCAAGGATGTAAAAAAAATCAACTTTTGTAACAGTATTCATGGCAGAACTAGGTATATAATATATATACTTGTTTTAATTGTCTATGTTTTTTAATATAAACATTAGTTAATGTTTAAATTTATCTTTAACATTTTGAAAATGTTAGTGAGTAGGTTTCGAAGGAATAAAAAATATCAGGTTGATTATTTCATTTTAAAATGTATAAATCCAATAATAATTCATGAATTTTAGTATGAGTTTGTTTATAAAATAATAAATAACATAAAATTTTATGTTAATAGCAAGGCTTTTGAGGTAGATAACATATTTTAAATACATTAGTTAATATTTCATTTAATTAATAATTATTATATATATTTTTTAATTTGATATAAGTAATGATATTCTGATTTTACATTCGATCTGTTATTTATTTTTTATAATTTCATAAGCAATATATTATTTTCCATATATTATTGGAAAGCAAGCACCAATACAGTATCATTTGACACCATCATTAAATAGTGGATACTTGTTTATTGTTATGGGTTTGTGATAATAATGGTGCTTTGATATTATATACTGTCTGATATTCATTTCATATGTTGCATTGAAAATGAGTTATCATTATCTCTATATGAGAAAATTAAGAAACTTTATCAGGGGTAATCAATAAGTTTCATAAGTTTGAACTTATTTGAATTATTTAATTCAAAATGATTTATGGCATATAATATAAATTTTTATGAAAATCAACCTTTATATATGTCTTTTACTAAATAGTTATGACTAAAATTTTATAATGTAGTAGATGTATAACTGTGGTTTCGTTTCGTTTATTTTATGTTGATTAAAAATAATACAATCTGAATTTCAGAATACATTAAATTACAAATTACAATTATACTATTGAAGAAAATTATCAGAAATAGATTCAATATTGCTGGTATTGGAAATATCAGAATGTCTCTAGGCCTGAATAGTTTAATAATATATTTATGAATATTTATTTTTGTTAATTTAATATGATTGGTTATACTGTTTCAGAAAGGTACTTTTGTTAGTGAGCCTGCCATTTTAGTTAAGAGGGCCGGAGTTGGAAGTCAAGTATGGTCTATGGAAAAACTAGAAAACAAGCTTGTAGACATGAGGGACATGTATGAAGAGAGGAAAGAAACAGGAATCATCATAGAACCGGTAATACTATATTTTGTTTGTATTTTATTGTAGTTAATTAACGAAGATACAAATTAAATAACAACAATTTTTTTTTTTTTTTTCTAAAGGATGAGAATCCAGCAAAAGTAGTTGATCCGTTCTATGAAAGTCAGGAAAATCATAACCTGATTGGAGTCGCAAACATTTTCCTTGAAGTCCTATCGGAGGATGTTACTCTTGACTATCATACTCCCATTATCAGCCAGCAAGGAGATGTAGCTGGGCGACTTCAGGTATTCATTTATTTTATTTATAATCTTTTCTCAATATTTTTTCTCTATTTTCGGCAATTAAAACTTCCAGATATACAACAATTGTTTTATTTGTCGATTTACATGTTAAGTTGATTTTTTGGGAAAATTATTCCCATCTTAAAAATTTAAAATCTCAGAAGAAAACAAGAACTCAATATTTATATTTAGTTCAAATAAACACAAATTATGAACCTACTAGGTGGATTTGAAAGTGAATTACAGACAAATCTATTATTTAGTTTTCAGTTACATAATTCACCATGATAATTCCATAAGATTATGTTTAGTACCATCTTGATTAAGTGCTGTCTAAATGATTTTAATACTTGCTGTTTTTATAACTTTTATATAAAACCATTGTTTGTTTATTTTCTGTTGGTGTTACAGACCATTTAGATCTTTTGCCACCTTAACAATCCTGCTCCATCTCTGCCTGTCTTGGGATATTTCTTTCCATTTATCTGCACGCAGTTCTATTGCATCTTTGTTGATTCTATCTATCCATCTGCTCTTTGGCCTTCTATTGAGGCATTCATTGTTACATAGAGGCTTCCCGATGGATTGCTATGAGCTACATGCTCTGCCCATCTTAACCTCTGTGCCTTCATATCTTAGGATATTGATTTACCAGTTTCTGTAAGCAGTTCTTTTCCCAATTTTCTCAATGTCCTCTTGATTACTTCCAAGGGCAGCTATATCATCTGTGTATCCAAGCATTTTATGATTCTTTAAATTTAGTTAATCATTATTACTTAAAAATAAATGTCGCAAATAATTATTTTTTAATTTAATATAGGCATAATTACTAAAATAATTTGAGAATGAAACCCATACTGCTTTAGTCCAAACACTCTGGGACTCTCGTCCGAACAGCTTGGCCATCGTGGCCTTAGCCACAATCCTAGTTAATATTTTTTTTAAATGTTTGTATATAAATCATTTAAGAATATTGTTCTGATATGATATCAGTAAGTATTTACAGTAGATGTATAACATTATGCCATTGGAATAGCAGAAATAATTTTTTTATTATTCTTTTTGTAGGTTGAAATCAAAAGGATTGCCGGAAAACTTCCTGAAGACAGGATGTGCGAGTCTGGTTCAGAAAGTTCTGGTGATTCTGGCAAAGACGATATGGATTCACAATTTACATCTTCAATTACTATCAGGGTTCGACTTGTTTCAACTTTTACAAACATTTTATAGTATTGTGAAAATTATTTAATTCCCTCTTTGAAAGAAAGTTTTTTGTTTTGTTTTTTAAATTAAATTAGATTAAAAATTATATGTTTCTGTCCCACTACTCAATGGTTAGTCCTTCCTATTTTTTTTTCAAGGCTATACTGAGCCAAACTACAAAATTTGGTTATTCCAAAATAATTTATACCATGTTCCTGTTCTATTAATATCTTGTTTTCTAATTATTGTTTAAGATCAAAAGTGATGAAATTTTTCCAAACCTATCATATGGGATTTAGTAAATTTCTATTATCACATTTTATTTTTTAGTTACTTTGTTCTTATCATTGCAGAACTCAAATTATTTTAAAATAAAATATTGTAGATTGGAACCGGATGAATAAACACATCTCGTGTATTGGAGAAATTAGCTTTTATTTATTTTAAGACCATTTTTGATAGTTTATTATTATTTTTTAGGTCACCATTAAACATGCCTCTGGACTTCCTCCATCATTATCTAATTTTGTATTTTGTCAATACACATTGTGGACCCATCCAGATAACATTGTCGTCCCTCCTAAGATGAATCCTGACCAGGCACCGTCTATGCAAGGGACAGATTCGATGACCTTCACCTTCGATCATACCAAGGAATTTACATTTCCGGTGACCGAAGAGTTTGTCGAACACTGTGCAGGTATTTAAACCATAAAATTTTATTTTCTTATGTCTTGGTCATTCGGGAACAAAATAACTCAAAAATACTCTTAAAATTTTACAATAATCTAATATATTATATATGTATATAATCTCGTCTATGTATATTTTCTTTTATTTTCACCGATCAATCTACATCTTAAGATTTAGATTATATAGGACTTGTATAATGTTTACAATACTATTATTGTATTCTTTGAACATAATAAGGTACATATTTAAATTATTTAAAGTAAATATTTATCCACTCTTTTATTATTATTTTTTTCATTAATACAATGGTATGACAACAAAAGTAACTTGTCGTTTTGTCGTTTAATTTCAAATTTCACTTAAAATTCCATAGTTTATTGTTTTTAGCAACTATTTTGCAGTATTAGGACCTTATTGCTCATATTATGTCTTTAATATATCAGTATAGTTAGGTAAATCCTTCTGTTATTACTTATTTTTTAGTTGTTTTTTTTTGTGTTTTTTTATTGTAATATGCATTTTGGCCAGATGTTATGTTAATTTTTATGTACAATATTGTTATTCTCAAGGGACTTTGTCCCAGAATAAAGTTGATTCTTCTTTAATCTAGACATTAGAAAAAGTTTATCCAAACAACTTATGGGCTTAAATGGAGGAATTTTTCACAAATGCATGCTCAAGTTTCTTTCAAGCTTTTTATTTTTTTTATTTATTTTTTTTTTTCCTACCCCCCAGGAATTTCTTTATTACAATATATAAATGTTATATATACATAATTTTTTTTTTTACTTCCTTTTATTGCCCAAGGGCATTTTAAGGTAAGAGGGCTATGCACGCTGCATGCGTACTTCGCATCTGTGGCCAGAGGCCTTTTATTATACCACTGGGCATGGAGGGACCGCCCTGTCTTTCAAGCTCTAGATATAGGATATTTATTAGATTTACATTAAAGATAAATAAATTTAGTATTTGCCAACAAGCATCAAGTTATTTTGCTCAAACTGCTGAGGTTAGCATATTTTATTGCTTGGTCATTATTTCAATATAATTAATCACTTGCTAATTTTGTTAATAGAGGGCGCGCTGAGTATAGAAGTGTGGGGTCATAGAAGCGCTGGATTCACTCAGGCCAAGCCAGGCTGGGAAGTGGAACAGCAACAACTTGCCAAAGCTCGATCTCTTGCTGACAGGTTAGCGTTGTTATATTATCTGTATATTTTTGTTTTTAAACCTTGTAGCAAGGATTTTGAGAACATTTACATCTTCATGCTGTATTAAGGTGACCAGACGTCCTGCTTTTGGCGGAAAAGTCCCAATTTTTAACAATCTGTCCCGCGTCGTTTTGAAAAAGTTCCGATTTTCAGAATGCACAATGAGCTAGGATATGGCAGAAGAGCGGGAAGAGAATGAGAATATGCAATTTTCAGTAGCCAAGTAGCTATTTCGCCAGAATATGATTTTTATATTATTTTGTTGATTTTATTATTCTAAATTTTAATAATAACGAATAATTGTTGCGTAGCAAAGTTTGCATTGTTGATCATTTGTGAGAAATCGATCACCATTGTTTGAACTCAATGATGATAAACAACCCGAAAATAATCTTTTTAATGAGGTATTGTAATGTAAAAATATATTGATAAAGAAAAGTTTAAATCTTAGGCATCTGCAAATTAACTTCATTTACTACTTTGATTACCGAAATATTTATAACCCTGTAGTACACATCCCGTTGTATTTTCTCCTTTAGACTACATTGTGTGAGGGAATGAGAAGGAATATATAATACATAGGAATGTGAGGTTGCACTGTTAATTGTGCTCAATTGTGCAGTGAACAAATTGCTCATTGGAAAATCTCATATCGATAAACAATCGAAAAGAAGAAAAAAGATCCGATCAGGTAGCAGCAGCTGGAAGAGGATGCCAAACACTTGAGGCCTGGACAGAAACAGGAGAAGATGGCTTACTATCTGGAAAGAGAGGCTTACTACATTGAAGACCAAGATTATCAAGCCGACCGCTATGCGCCTATTCCCGCCAAAACATCTTTATTTTACATTTTACTTTCAGTAGGTTATTTACAACCTTCAATAAGTTTCATGGCACTTTGAAAAAGAGCTACGTGATTGTGTACAAACTGCTGGCACAAAACTTAAAAATCCTAAAAACTGTTTTATTATTGTCATAAATTAGACATCAAATTATTCATACTTAAAAAATGCCTTTAGAACTAAATTCTCAACCTTATTTCTGCTGAATACAATGTCACCTGGTTATCATCATGTAAAATTAATTATTGTAACAAATTTAAACTATTGTTTGGACTTAATGAACCAAATGTTTATTCATGGACCTAATCCCCTCCCCCCTCCCTCCACTGCATCAATAGTGTCCCGCTTTATCAATGTTGAAATCTGATTACCTTATGCTATAGCCTGTTCTTCAAGAGAAAGCCTTTGAATAGTGAGAGAGGAGAGAGAGGGAGGGGTTGAGCAGCTATACAACAATCCTCCATTTTTTATCTCCACCTTCTTTACTAACTCATATCGTTTAGCCAACAATGATAACAAAGTTAGATTGTTAGATTGGTCGTAGGGTATGTTTCAGTAGCATACTCTTAGCAAATATACTATGAAACCTTTTTTTTTTTTGCTTATATTATTTTTCAATCATGAAATTTTAAAAACAAGACTATTTATTTTTTTTTAAATATTTAGTTAATATTCTCAGTGTAAACAGTACTTCTAGAAATTTAACTAAATCTACTCTTTTTACAATATTCTATTTGTTATTTATGAAATAGCTATTTCTATTTATTTTTATTTTTATTATTTTCTCTCAATTCTAATCATTTTAAATATTTTTCATCAGGTGGAGTGAATTGAGTAGAAAAATTGAATTATGGGTAGAAATAGAAGAACTGAACGACGCAGGCGATTATTCTAGTGTTGAAGTATCCCCTTCAAGAGAAGTACTTACTGGTATGTTCTTCAATATTAACATAATTAAGTTTGCTACGTCAATATCGAGATATAGTGTGGTTTGTGCCCAGAGCTAAAATAATTTCCCACTCTAATTTATTTTCTTCTATTGGCTTTATATCATGAGATATTGATTGACCAATTTCTGTAAGCAGTTTTTTATTGGTCCTTCTCATACTTGTGTTATTACTCTGATTCCAGATCATTGTAGTTATCGTGCGGTGGATTTTCCTCTAAAATTTTTCATTGCTTCATTCTTAAATGTTGGTTAGAACTGGTATATTCATTTTACATCCTTAATTTGAGATTTCAACACCTTTGAAATATAGAAGAAAACTCTATTTGTGCTTATTGTACACTGTTCTATTTATGGCACACTTCGTCCTATTTATTTACGTTCGTTAAGGTTATTGTGGAGCTGATATTTGAATTTGTCTATTTCATCTGTGCAGGTCCTGTTGTAAAGTTGAAACTTCCTCTCTTTATTTTGGCTTGCTATATATATTTTGTTTTATTTTCATTTTCTTATAGGCCGATTTTCTCTGCTTCTCTTACTAGAGTCTCAGCGAGTTTCTCAATGTTCTCTTTATAGCTTCCAAGAACTGCTATATCATCTGTATATCTAAGGATTTTATGAATCATTTCGATTTACACTACTCCATTTTCAAGTGATGTTCTTATCACCTTCTCCAGCTATAATTTGAACAACATTGGCAAGAGTCCATTTCCCTGCTTCAAGCTACTTTGTCCTTGAGGTTTCAGATACTTCTCATTTTATCAGAACTCAACATTCACGATCGTTTGTACTCGCCTTTGTCAATGTCACCAACTTACTCAGAACTCCCAGTTCAGTCATGATCTTCTAAAGACAGTTTCTGCCCAAAAAACCCACTAGTATTTTAATAGATCATAATAATTGTGCAACAGGAAGATTAGAGAAAATTAAAGGTAATGAACACACTAATGCTTTTGATCTCAGTGCTGAACAAGTGATAAATTTCTTATGAATTTTATATGATGATTTTTCTTTACAAAAATATTTATATAATGTTACAATAGTTAAACAACATATTTACAGTACCTTTATATATACTTTAGCGGCAATGAATTAAAATAACTGATTTCCTTTAGAGTTACAAATTTTTAGTCATTAAAAAGATATATATATATATATATATATATATATATATATATATATATATATATATATATATATATATATATATTGACGCCCTTAATAAAATTTTAATTTAGGAGGCGTATATCAGCTGAGACAAGGTCAGCAGAGGCGAGTGAGGGTGAAAGTCAGCCCAGTGATACAATCAGGAACACTTCCCATCATCTGCCAGGAGATCACCAACATAGCGCTTGGCAGTGTGTCCGCTCGGTAATTTGAAAAATTACTTTTTTATCTAAAAAAAATTTCCATATAATTTTTTCCCTTGTTACTATCATTTTTTCTCTTACCTACAAATATAATTCTTATATATTCATGCCTCTTTATCTTGCTAATTGTTGACTTTCGCAGTGTTCTATATTTCAATTTACTAAATAGTTTTAACGTTGTATATTGATATACTTTTTATCTTTTAGGTCTCGGTTGCAGAAACCACTCGATTCTTATCAAGAAGATGATTTGAATAGGCTGAGGGACAAGTGGAGTGAGGCCCTCATGAGGAGACGAAATTACCTTGACCAACAGATACAAAGGCTAATTAACAAACAAGGTTATTTTTTTATCATTCTATTTAAACTAATCACTTTTTATGATGATGGTAACAAATTGGTAGGTACATATTTAATATATAATATTATGAAGCTAAAAAAAATCTGGTGCTGTGTGCGCATCACACAACCACCCTCTTAGCAGAAATAAGTATTTTCAGACAAAGGAGAAGTGAAAGTAAAAATTATAGATGCTATAAATATTTATATTTCATTTTGGTTATTTTTATTTGTATAAGTACCCTTATATATACAAATTTTAATATTTATATCGGTGTGATACATGCAAATAAATATAAGATAATACCAACAATAGCATTTATGAAAACCGCATATTTATATTTATATAATATTGTCAGGGTTCATATTATATTAAGCTCATGTTACATATAGAAGCCTGTAATAATCTCTCGATCGCACTCGGCTGCGATCAATTACAACTATTCTCAGTTACAATTTTTTATTTTTCCTTTATTTAATTATCAAATTCTTTCATATTTTATATTTAAATATCTTTTATATTAGAGATTAATGTTAAATTATCAATTGTTTCAAATAAAAAGATAAAGGTACTTTAGAGGAAGCTAATATTGAAAATTAGCCATTTAAGTTCTGTAAGAGAACATCAATCAGAATAAAAACTAAATTTTATTTAAAACTGCTTAATTTTACACTTACGTAATGAATTTAATCAAAATCGTTAGAGCCGTTTCTGAGAAAATTGTAAAAATGTGTTTAGCTCATGATATAAAGTGCTACTTCCGATCTGTGGATTTTGATGAAAAAATTACTGTAACTTCCCTAGCAAATAAAAACCTTAAATACACAATTCCACTTTCGTACGACTTTTCGTTTTTGAGCTAGACAGTTAACACACACACAGACCATTTTGCGGGACTTGGTTATTTGGACTCAGGTGACCTCAAAACGTGTATTTCCATTGAAAACTGAGATTCAAAAATGTTCACGATCACAATACTTTCCTTTACTATATATTTCATATATAGGTAAGTGAAAGTATAAATATATATACTAAAAAAATGCCACAAATTCTGATATAATGAGGTTTTAGCCCTGGCTCTAATCTCTGATTATTCTTGATTTTATATCCTGCTTTCTCATCTTTAGTCATATTCAAGTTCCCTTTTATATTTTAAAATGGATCATTCACAAAAATAAAGTTACATCCTAAATTGAATGAAAACCATCTCGTTGATCTATGCTGGTTATTTATCAGACCTGGAATACCTGGAAAAGAATAAAGAAATTTTACAAGATAGAGGACATGAATTTCTTGTGATGAATTTTCTAATTTGTTATTGCTTACAATAGCTTTACATAACAGTGATATATGCACCAGTATGCATTTCTCTTTAAGAGTATTAATTTGACTTATATTCATTATATTCTTAAAACTAATTTCCTGTTAAGAAACCGTTTATGTACCATGAAGGCAATACATTGTTTTTTATATAACTATGCAAAAAAAAAAAAAAAAAAAATGTGCTTTGGCTTTATTATAAAAGAAACTGCTTAGATTTTATATTTGTATGTCAAAGAGAGGCTGTTTAATTTTTGTTTGATGGTTTACTTACTTTTTTATCATAAAAGATTCTAATTTTGTTCTGTCCCCAGTATAGTGGATTACAATATTCAAATTGCTAAACATTTTACCAATTATGTAAAATTATTGTTAATAAAGATCACTTTATAAAAATTTAGTCAGGAAGCAAACATATTTCTTTTACCTTACTCATGACAAAATATAATATATTATAATCATCAGTGAATAGTAAACCAGCATATAAAATAATTTTCTTTTTCGTTAATTTTTTCATAATATTTTAGAAGCAAGAAGAATAATTAAAATATATATAACAATATCATCAATTCCAAGTTATTCCTATCAGATTTGTCTGAAAAATATAAAAATTATCAAAAATTGTATACAGACATCTAAAATAAAAATTGTAGTTGAGATATATGATGTCCAATTTAACCAGGATACATCCATAAACCTCCCTACAAAGTTTAGCATATACAGTGCTGAATTATATGGTGTCATTGAAGCTTTCAAAGTAACCAACAGAAAATATAAGAATAGAAAAGTCATAATTCTAACTGATTCCACTTCTCTATGAAAAACATACAAGACAACATATTTCAGTGTACCTAATCAATAATATAATAGAAGAAGTTCATCGCTCAACAAATAACAAATTTAAGGTTCAATGGGTTCCAGGTCATGTGGGTTTTAATGGGAATGAACGAGCAAAACCGGGTGGGTTCTGAAAGGATGGAAAATGCGAAACTGCCTTTACAGGTAGATGGGAGAAAAAACACTTTATTAGTGAATGGCAGGATAGGTATGCCTGGGAGTCAAGTTCGAAAGGTAAAAATCATTTCACCTCTCGTCTCTCTACGCCCATGGTTCTCTAACACTTGTGTCAAGTTAAGGAGAAAAGAAATAGTCTTACTTACAAGATAAAGAATTAACCATAGTCGAACAAATCATGGTTTGACAATAATTAAAATTGAAAAAAATGATAAATGTTCAATATGTTACTCCATCGAGGACCCATCGCACATTATTTTAAAATGCAAGAGATAGGATAAATACCAGAAGAAATACCCGCTCATCCAAAACAATAGCACTTTCCTCCAAGGGCTGGCTGATCTAGATAGGGATATCATTAAGGCATTGTGCAAATTTATTGAAGTATCCAAAATAGATTTTTAAAAATAAATAATAATAATGTACATTTATATCTCCATTATATTTTAATATAACAATAGGATCAGTATAAGACTTCAGTGGGAGTCTTGGGCCAACTAAATATTATTTAGTCGTATAATAAATAATATTATAAATTATTAATAATATTATATTATTTAATAAATATTATTAATAATTTATTATTTAATTATTTCATTAAATTAATTTTTTTCAAAAATAACATTAAAAAGTCAGATAATAACACCATAAAAGATCATGGTAGACAATTTATAATCGATTGTACTATTGAAAATTGATTTATTTTTTTAATATACTTGCATTAAGTAATTTCTAATAATAATTTGTAGACTAAATTCTTTTTATTGTTTTTTAACGCATATAAATTTTAACAGTGTCAAAGTGTAGCGTAGTGTTTGAGATGTGCTTCGATTAGTCTCCTTCCTGTTATTTTTAGTTGATTTTATTTTTTATTTTTTAACTCAAACCGTACACTAATTCTTTTTTTGTATATTTTATATAGGCAAAAGTGAAAGTGACTGCGAGAGAGAACAAAGCCTTGTCGAGCAGTGGGTGAGCCTAACAGAGGAGAGAAATGCCGTGATGGTTCCTGCGGCAGGCTCTGGTATACCCGGCGCCCCTGCCGATTGGATACCTCCGCCCGGGATGGAACCACACATTCCGGTTCTTTTCTTAGATCTCAATGGTAAATTAATTTTTATTGTTGTTTTTTTGGTATTTTTTTTTAAATATATACTCCAACTTACGTCTTACTTCTTACCTTTTACTAACAACCTAGGGAGCTCTCAATTAAATATTAGATAATCAAAATTTTACTGCAAAAATAGTACTAAATATAAATTATCATATTAAATTAATTTTAATAGTTTAAAATACGTATATAAATTATCAGATCGTTCCTCATTATTCTTACTTTATGTTTATTTTCAATTTTTCATTATTAATTGATTTTATTTATTAATTTTTCATTTTTTTTTTATTATTAACTGATTTTATTTATTTTTCATTTTTTTATTATTATTAACTGATTTAAATTAGAAAGTAACTTATAATTTCTTTTCTTATTTTTTTTAATTTGACTGTTCACTTACTCTATATTTTTGTTTATATATCTCTGAGGCTCCTTAGCCCAAATTTTTGTTTTTCTGTATTATTCTAAAGGGACTTGTCCTAGAATAAATAAAGCATTATTATCTTTTTTATTCTCGCCTTTGCGGATTCAAAGCTGAAGGTGGGGGACAAGTCCAACCACCTGCAGTTATAATATTTTTAGATATTTAAAAATTGTCTTGTAATTCTGGCTGTATCCAAGAGAACCGCTTGCTGAGCCTCTCTTAACACATCCAAGCCGTCCGTACCTGCCACCGTTGACTTTGGGATCAGACCATTGGTTGATATTATTATTGGTGTAACCAATACGCTCTCCAAATGGTACAATTCCTTTAATTCAATCGCCAGTTCTTGGTACTTACGGAGCTTCTCCCCCACGATCGTGCTTATGTTGTTATCGTTTGGAATCGCGATATCAATCAACTTTGCCTTCTTTGCTCCTAAATCTATGATAAGGATATCGGGTCTGTTGTGATGCACTGTATGATCCGTTCTTCTTCTTATTATTATTATTATTATTAAATAGGTAGTCCATTGTTTGTTAAAAAATTCTTAACATTTCTCTCCTTCTCCATGTGATTACTCACCTCTATTTTCTGAGGTGTTTATAGTGTCCTAAAAAAAAAAAAAAATTCAGTTTGTTAGTTTAATTATTTGTTATTAGAGTGCTACCAGTGAGTAGTTTCTCAACAAGTCATTTCATGTTTTTATTTTCTATTATCAAATTTACTTAATGTATTTAATTTTTTAATACAGTTGTAAATATCATGAATAAATAAAAAAAAAAAAAAAAAAAAATTTGTTTTGATTTTTTCTCCTTAACATTTCTTGTAGGTCTTTAACCATTTTAATCAGCTTTTCCCATCTCTGCCTATCTTGGGCTATTTCTTTTCAGTTCTCTACATGCAGCTATATTACATCTTCGTTGATTCTATCTATCCATCTGATTTTTGGTCTTCCACCTGCTCTTTTGCCTTTTGTTTAATTCTTGTTAGATATCTTACAAAGTTTTTTATCATAAAATATTCTAATTTTGTTCTGTCTTCAGTATTGTTGATTACTATGAATATAGTAATTGCTCTAAACATTCTACCGATTATGTAAAATGATTATTAGTAAATATCAGTTTATAAAAATTTAGTCAGGAACCAAACATATTTATTTTACCATACTCATGACGAAATAGAATAAATTATATCGATCATCAGTGAATAGTAAACCAGCATATAAAGTAATTTTCTGTGTTGAGACTTCCAGATGGACTACATCTTACCCTTCTTGTCTTCATTCAAAACATATAATATTGATTGACCAGTTTCTGTAAGCAGCTCTTTACTGGTCTTTCTCCTCCATGTGTTAGTATTACGATCCCAGATCGCTCCAATTATCGTGCAAAGGATTTTTCTCTCAAATCTTTCGATACTTATTTCTATGGTGCTGGTTAGGGTACAGGTTACATCGAGCAGATACATTCGAGAACTGGCTTTACCATAACATTATATATTCTTAATTTGAGATATCTTGAGAATTTTGGGAACTTCAACACATATAAACGAGAAAAACAATCTCTGTTAGCGCTTGTTCTACGCTCGTATATTTCCGACTGTGGGTCATTCATTAAGGTTATTATGGGGAACTGAAGTATTTTAATTTGTCTACTCTCGGGAACAATTTCCCTTCTACACAAATCCTGTTATTTAAGTGGGATTTTCGACTTATTATCATATATTATATTTATTCATTTCCTCTTAGGTCGATTTGCTCTGCTTCTCTTATCAGTCTTCAGAAGTTTTTCAATATCGGTGTGACTCCATCTCTCTTCCCTTAACCTGTTTGAATTTTGTAGGCTTCAGATACTTCTCCTTGTTTGGATAAATAGGATTCGACATTTAGGATCATTTGTATAGTACGTCTAAGATAAGTTTGTCTGTAGAGAAAGGGAGTTCGCGCAGCCTTTTTCCCTCTCAACCTCCACCTCCCGTCCTCACCTTAACAATCACATCATACCCGGAACACGTTGTTGGATGCTCTTCTAAATTCTTATTCATTAAAGAAACGAAAACAAAAAAAATGGTATAAGAAATTTCTACTTGTAAAAATCATTTTTTTTATTTCTTTTTTTCCTCGCCTTTTAGGTTAGGTCGAGGGTTTCCCAGGCCATGGGATGAGGGCGGAGATTAATGCCAGAGTATTAGCCAGGAGATTAAAAGATTCTCCGGTCACCAGGACGCGAACTTGTATTTTTATCAAATTATCTCATATATATAGAACACAATAGACCCTTTTGATCGCCATTTATGCTTAAAAGAAAATCTCATAACAAGTTACTGGACAACGGCGTTGCTGTGCACATGCATTAACTTACTTGACCTCCCCGTCCCTTGTATAAAACATTGTAGAAGTACGTACAAATGAGTAGAGAGAAAACAGAACAGTGAGGGATCGGCAGGAAAATGTTTTGCCACTGCATATCTCTCTTCTCCCCTAACCCCTGGCAAACTTATCTTAGACGGACTCTACATGCCTTATAATTATGTTATAAAACTCATATTATTTTCAGGTTCCCTTTCAGCATGGAAAAAATTATACTTTTATTTTTATTTTAGCTGAGGATCTTTCGGCCAATAAATGGTCAGGGGAAGGATTAGAGCTCCCAATAGCCGGTCTCAATTCTATTTTACCGAAGGAACTTGGCAAAAATTTTCATTCTCTCCCTATAGTCAAACATTGCGAGAAGGAAGTTTGTGCGATAGCTACTTGGGATTCTTCAGTGCATAACTCCATTCATCTTAACAGACTCACAGATGGTAAAACAATATATGATTATTCAGACTTTCATTTGATCTTTTATTGTATATGTATATATTTTTTGTAAACGTTATATTCCCATATCAAATAGGCAATGAAAGGGTATATTTGATTTTGCGAACTACTGTGAGGTTGTCTCATCCAGCACCGATGGATGTCGTTCTGAGGAAACGTTTATGCTTGAATATTTATAAACGACAGAGCATAACAGACAGGATCAGAAGGAAAATTGTGAGATCGGATGGTCTTTCTTCAACAGGTGTAACGTACGAAGTTGTCTCCAACATTCCAAAGGTAATTAGATATTATATAGTTTAGTTTTTAAAATTATAATCATGTTCAGACACCAACAAAATAAAAAATTTCCAAAAAAAATAAAAATAATTTGTGTATTTTCTCATGTTCAAAAATTTACCATCAAAATCTGTAAATTTCTTAGTTGATGTGACAAGAGAAAATCTAGACTAGAGTTATGACCATTGTCTCAACTCAAATTTTCATTTGATACCTCGTTCTTGAGGTTTTGATTTATTTTAAATGTTGTTTTGTATTTATTTAGTCATTCTCATGTGAGCAGCCAAGTATTTAAAAACATTATAACATTTTCTACTTTCTCAGAATTATTTTAAATTCTCTATGGCGTAAGATCATTACTTTTATTTTTATATTAACTTCAATAGCTTGCAGTCTGTTTTATTTACAGTGATGATGTGGTATATTGATAGATACAGTAGCGACTTCTGTTACAAACTCCAAGCACAGCTGTTAATTTCTATTTCAAACATAAAATAATTTTATAATGTTGAATGTACCAACTGATCCATTTTTTGAAAATATTAAACTAATATTCTTAAAATGAACATTTAGGGGTGATATAAGAATTAAAAAATTATACCATATTGTCTCATGGTTTGTTTTCTTTTAGGCTAGTGAAGAACTGGAAGAACGAGAGTCACTGGCTCAGATTGCTGCATCTGGTGAAGATGCATCATTGAGTGATGGAGAAACGTACATAGGTATGATTTAATAATTTTTAATTTTTATAATTTTTATGAACTTATATTAGAATGATAAGATTATTGTGAAGTCCATATAATGAATTTATATATTTTTTTATATAAATCATGCCATGTTTTAAACAATGTATACCATCCTGGCAACACAATTGGATTATTAGTTATTAGATATTTTATTAATAAAATCTTGTTGAAAAGAAACAGTGCGTAATGCAGTTATCATATGCCATGGTAGATGCTCTATTTTAAGGCAAACTTTATTTGGAATAAATTCCAAATTACTTAATGTTCAGTATCCATAAGATATTTTGTTAATTAACTCGCTAATTAAAATAAATACTATTGCTAAATTCTGATATATTCATAAAACATTTGATTTGTTACCATTAGAAAAGTATACAAGAGGAGTGAGCGCTGTTGAAGACATCCTTACACTGGATCGGTTGAGGCAGAGAGTTGCGGTTAGAGAAATCCTCCAACACAAGGGTGTTCCGCTGACTATGAGAAAGACTTGCTCCGTACCAAACTTCTCTCAGGTCAGTGTTTAATAGAAATAATTATTTAGCGAATTTAAAAATTCTTCTGTTCTAAATCTCTGCCCTAATGTTTAATATATATTGGAGTTATTAAAAGTTAAAAATTATTTATACAACTAAAACTACAAGGTTGTAATGTCGATTTGTTCAACATAGATCATTTCTCCTTCATAAAAATATCCTGTCCACTTCGATGGCAGTATAATTTCCATAGTTTCCAGTTTAGATCATTTTTAATGATTAATCCAAAGAATAAGATTATACAAGCATTGTTTAAAAGATCAATGAAAGTAGCCTAGGATTCAGTTTTTCATTTATTTTTGTAAACTATTTTTAAAATTGTTTAATTTAAAAACCAGAAATCTACTAACAACGTATATGAATCAGAATATCTTGTTACAGCATATTCTATTTTCTACACATGTTTTTATTACTTTTCCACCACTATTAGGTAAGGAGAGTTTTGCAATCAGGTTAACTTTGCGATGTGGGTTTTTCAATGAGTCTTCACATTTCATTAAAAGCCCGCTGAGTCCAAAAAACTCATTTTTTATTTTGAAATGTTATTAAATTTCCGACAATATATCAACATATTGATATATATTGATACAATATATTGAATGTATGGAGGCTCACATGCCCATTTACATTGCTTTAGTTTATCAATGACGTTGTTCTCTAATCATTTTTCCTATCGGTTTTCAGGAAAATTAATTTAATTCAATTTTTTTTTTTTTTAATGTACATATTTAAGATTGTTTTAATTTGTGTGAAATCAGTAGTCATGTGAGTGGAAACATCAGATTTTTCGTTCTTACTTCTGTTTACACTATCCAATATTTTAAGTCTCTAGAAACTATGTTTATTCTGTAATTTAATGATATGAAATGAAAGTTCTTTTGCATTATGTTTTTACTGTTGGATATGTGTTGTTTATATATTTTTTTTTTTATGTTTCTCACTTGTAAACTTTTAATAATATGTCTTATTAATTATATAATTTTTTTTTTAAATACAGTTAATGAGATTAGATGGAAGTAGTGATGGAGTGTCTCGCTCAGAAAGTGTTACTGATCTCAATAAAGAGCTCCGTGGTGAACTCTCAAGGCCTAGGAAATCTCTTCCGGACGCCACCGACATGCCATCTAAACAATTTGCCATTGGTGAGTTGTCTTATTTTATTTCTTATCTTTATTATTTGTTATTTGTTTATACAAGCCTTACAATAACTAAAGTTCCCATATATTATAGTAAGAATTATTTTTAGTCTTCTATGAGATATGGATCAGTTAAAATTTTTTAGAATTAATGATTTGTTATCTTAAGGGATTTTATATTTTCAGATTTTTATAATTTAACTATAAAAATGTGTCCTAACAAAATCAATTTATTCATATGGCTGTACCTCATGAAATGTCTACTTTTTAATAAATAATAATTGATTTATAAAACAATCTGATATTAATTTTTCCCAAAGTAATTCACATAAATAAGTACAAATATTTTATATAATATGTTGCAAACTAATCAAAGAAAAGTCTCAGTACTTCAGGATAAATATGTTTAGTTCTTTTTCCTTGTGAGAAAAATATATACTGTTCTTTTCCTCAATCAAACATATAGTTATCCATGGAAAAAACTCCCTAATTGCCTTCAATTTTTCAGATTGATTAAAATTTATTGTTATTAATTTTTCAAATCATATTTGTAGTTCCTTAAATTAATATCATACAGATGAATCCTTCATTTTTGCATTATAGATTTATAAGTTGTTGCTGAATTTATTAACACTCAGTTCAGATACTCCATCTGGAAGTGCTCAGCGGCCTTTCCCAATATCTGGTTGTTCTTTTGGAAAGGACATAATGTATTCCCTATCCCTCGATTGTGGTAGGGATAGACTTTTTCTACCCCCGTCAACAACAGTTGCCTTTAGCATCCTGGCTTTGAAAGAGTATATTTCATTTTTAAATCAATCATCTTTTTTTTTTTTTTTTTCTTTATGACATTTACAACTGTATTACATAAATACATCAAGTAAATTTGGACATAATTGATATAATGACATGAATACACTTGCTGAGTAACTACCCAATGGTAGCACTCTAATGATATGACTACATTAGGAGATCACAGGGCCATCTTCTTTTCAGACGCCTCGGAGGGTTATCAGGAATTGAAGAGGAAGTAAGGTTAGAAACGAGAGGGTTGATTCTGAAGTTTATTATGGAAGGATAGGTATCTGGATTGGGCCAGATCTGAAACATAAGGAACATTAAGATCTTTATGGATAATTTTATTAGTGATAAAGTAAGGAGCATTGAGGATTTTACGAAGGATTTTGGATTGTAAGGATTGGATGCGAGAGGAATTCGATGGATTTAGTGGAGCCCCATAGCTCAACTCCGTAAGTCCAAATAGGTCTTATTATAGTCAAGTATATGAGTCTTTTGTAATTAATGGGAAGTTTAGAGCGTTTGTCTAGTAAGTGCTGAAGTAATCGGAAACGTCGAGCGGTTTCTTGTCGTTTCATTCTAGTATGAGGATTCCAAGTCAGTCGTTTGTCCAGATGGAGTCCTAGGTATCGGATTTGCTCAACAGGGATAAGTGGAGTATTGTTAAAGGAAACTGTAGGACAGGAAGTCGTTGGTTTACAAATCAATCAACTAAAAGTCATTTTGTGAAGTTTTATAATATGAAATATTTATTAAACAAATATTCATCTGTTCACAAGGTAATCTCAGATAATGATGAAGGCCGTTCCAAAAGTGTTATATATATTATCATCTCCAAAACTGACATTTCATGTTTATACAACCAAATAGAATAAACCTAAATATATATTTCATTTGAAATTAGCACAACAGCATTATAAATCAAATGAATTTGTAATAATTAATTATTCATTTATCACAGTTATTGAAAAATATTTATTAAACATTATTGTGTTATCTCACTATTTTCATTTTTGTTATCATTATTCACTCATTCTTTTGACTTGAATTTTTTTTTATTTCTTTGTGCCTTTTGATTCAGTTGTGTCAATGCTGGCATAGCTGCCAGTTATGCTGTTCACACGAAGGATACTCTTAGCTTGCTGATAAAGCATTATGACACAATGCTTAATGCACATTCCTAATTTTTTTTTTTATTTGAAAAAAAAATGTAAGCTTAAGCAACAGCTTAGTGTAATTGTTATTACCAAGTTTTTGAAAAAAAGATGGTGCTACATCTATCAGAAACCTGCGAACATATTCCTTTCTTTTTTTTATGCCATGCACAATTTTATCATTTCCTTTTATTATTATTTTTTAGTTTAGTTTTAGTCATATTTTATAATTCAGATTAACCACGGCTTATGTGGCATTAAATCTTTCATATTAGGTGTTTTGAATATAACTTTATCTTATTTTTTTTATACATAATTATTAAATTATTGGAGTATTTTAGTAATAATATTAGGTAGAGGTTAGTTTATAAAGATATAGTGTTTTTAGTGATAGTTTTAAGTTATAACTAATAGTGATAGGCAAAATTGCTAAATTGCTCCAATGTGTCTTATTTCTCTTTTTTGCCTTCTTACCCTGATTATCCACTTTTGTTATTCTTTTTCTTTTTTTTAAATAAAACTATACTTTAATCTTATTAAGAATTCAAACCTGCTTTTGATGTCTTGTTTCTTTTTTCACCCTCTTTATATCTGTAATGATATAATTTTCTTCTGCATTATTACTTTCTATCTTTATATATATAGATTTAAATCAAGGGTTGCTAACCTGGTCTCTAACACCCACTAGGAAGCATTTGAAGTCAGCGAAGTGAACAATTATACATTCGTAACAATTATATTCTAAATGTGAATAATGATTGTCCACTTGCTCTAAGAAATCGGAAAAACCTCGGTTAACAAAAATATGTAATAATTTGAGAATAGATTTTTATGCAACAAAAAAAATATTAATAAATAACAGAGTTGTTACATGGTGCATCGGCCATGGGGTACCACATATTGAGGATTAAAAATAAAGTGAAGTGAAAGAGATACAACATATTCCCGATTCAGAGAAGCTAAACTAAAAAGATATTAATTTTCTAAAAATTATATAATATTTGTTTAAACATAAATTAGAAATAGATTGTAAAATACTAAACCAAATAATGGTATGGAGATGATTGGACCATGGATTCTAATTTCAGAAGAAGTTAGTCAGAGTGTCCAGTCACAAAATACTATATTATATAATAGTATATTTTATTATATTTTTTCTGACGTTTCGACCTACGTTGTAGGTCTTCTTCAGGGCATTCCATCACACACTGCTTAAGGCACTATGGTGTCTCTTGACGCCATAGTGTGCCTTCAGCAGTGCCTGACGGAATGCCCTGAAGAAGACCTACAACATAGGTTGAAACGTCGAAAAAAAATGTAATAAAATATACTATTATGTATTAATGGATATTTTGACTGCACCCCCCTGACTAACTTCTTCTGAAAACGAACCAAATATTATTGTAAATAAGCTTGAGGTTATAAATTAATTATAGTGCTCCTTATTTAGTTTTGTAGTTTCTTTTGTTTCCTCCCCAAGCATTTACTCTTTTACTATAAAATAAAATGAAATATATACATTTATTTTTATACTTACAAAATATGATTCAAGTTTTTTTTTTCAGCCATTGCTTAATCATTTAAAAAAAAAAAAAAAAAAATGAAATTGTGATTGCATAAAAATCTTCAGCCATTGCTTAATCATTTTAAAAATAAATTAAAAAAAAAAAAAAAACTAAAATTGTGATTGCATAAAAATCTTCAGCCATTGCTTAATCATTTTAAAAATAAATTAAAAAAAAAAAAAAACTAAAATTGTGATTGCATAAAAATCTTCAGCCATTGCTTAATCATTTTAAAAATAAATTAAAAAAAAAAAAATACAAACTAAAATTGTGATTGCATAAAAATCTTCAGCCATTGCTTAATCATTTTAAAAATAAATTTAAAAAAACAAAACAGACAAACTAAAATTGTAATTGCATAAAAATCTTCACCCATTGCTTAATCATTTTAAAAATAAATTAAAAAAAAAAAAAAAAACAAACTAAAATTGTGATTGCATAAAAATCTTCAGCCATTGCTTAATCATTTTAAAAATAAATTAAAAAAAAACAGACAAACTAAAATTGTGATTGCATAAAAATCTAGTCTCTTGTTATAGCACTGTCCATTCATTAGGAGTTAAATATTAATTTAATCTTCTTCCTAATGTCCCTGCTACCTAAAATAAAACGATGGAACAAATCGGAAACATGAATGTCTTGATGAGAAAAAGACTAAGTCATTAAATATTATCAAAGCAATTTCAAAAACATTTGAAAATCAATCCGTAATAATATTAATTACAAGTGCACATATGTGGAATTAGGGAAGTGAAAGGTTGACAACCCTTGGTTTTTTAATTTACATTGAAAGCGTTTTTGTAACCTTCAAATGTTACTCGACTTCTGGAACGAATGAAACATCAGAGCTGATTTGAGTTCATGCCTCCGCAGATTCTTGTCTCAAAGCATTATCTGCTCGAAGAAAGGCATTCATTTTTAAAAGAATAAAATTGATTTGTTCTTATGTTAAAAAAAGATAGATAGTTATTAGGAAATTTGTAATGTTGTAGTTATATTAAACAACTTAAAGTAACTTCATTATTATTTTAGTTTTTTTTATTTTAATTTTGTTTTTCTAAAAATTTGAACTATTTTTTTTTTACATAATAAGTATATCAAATCAGTACACATATTACATTACATAATGAATGCCTATTCCGTTGTTTTTAATGATAACTTTTATTGTTTAATTTTGACTCGAAAAAAAATAATTTTACTTAATCTTCATAAATTTCTACTGATTTTATTTACTTCTGTTATATGAGCCATGAATCGACCATACCTCTCGTTGCACACCCAGCCTCTATAAAATAGGTGCCCTTAATTGGAAGGAAAATCTGGCGGTTAGAAATCTCTTCCTTGCACAACTTTTTTTTTTTTTTTTTATTTTGGCCTAAAGCACTACGACCTTGAGGGTCAATTGTGTGTCATGTATAACGTCCGTTTTATTCCTAAAACATCAGTTTAGTCGCTTTCCCGTATCTTAATATCGGATTGATAGACTCAT